ATCTGAGGTCCAGCCATCTTCATCAATGACTTTCTTTCCATCATAAGGTGAGAAGTGAGGATGTTTGCTGATGATTGCCAATGTTCAATATTATTCACAACTCCTCAGATACTGAAGCAGTCCATATCCATATGCAATAAGACCTGGAAAGTATTCAGCTTTGGGCTGAAAAGAAGCAAGTCAATGCCATACATTTGGGAGGCAATGACCATTCTTAACAGGTTGGAATCTAACCATCTCTCCATGACATTCAAGTGCATTACCATCGCTGATTTACCCCATGATCAACATCCTTGAGGTTACAATTAACCAGAAACTGACTGGTCCAGCTATATAAACACCCATGACTACAAAAACATGTCAGAGGTGAGGAGTTCTGAAGTAAGTCATCTCCATTTGACTCCTCAATGTTGGCCACCATTGACAAGATACAAGTAAAGGGTGTGATGGGATAATCTTCACTTGCCTGGTTGAGTGCAGCTCCAACAACACGCAAGAATATGGATACCATTCAGATTAAAGCAGCTTGTTTGATTGGCACGCCATCCACCAACAAGCATGTAAAAATAAATGTTGCCACGGCTCCTTGGCTAGATGACTAGTGTGGAACATATTTGTTTCAATAGCATGTGGTTTGATTTCCCCCATTCTAAGTGTGGTGGATTTGTGACTTGCCTCCTTGCTCTTCTTGTGGTGGAAATTGTGCTGGTGTGAGTTGGACCAGTCTTGGGGCAGAGATCTGAAGAAGAATTGTCTTCCATGCTGTTGAGGTACATGGTTAAGAAACCTAAACTGTGACTCTAGGATAAGAAGAAACGGTTTCAGATTGATGTCAAGAAAATTTAGGATTACATCAAGAATTCTTCCTAGACAACAAAGGATATTAAAGTCGTAGCTAAATAAATAATAATTAACCAATACTAATGTTTACTGTTTCTTCCCTTGAATTTACTCTTCTTTCTTTATATTTCTTTTTTAAATGAATATTTTTCACTTTGAATAGCTGAGAAATCATTCTCTCTCCCACAAACTTCCAAGGCCGTAAAGGATCTGGCCAATGAAGAGACACGTTGGAGAATCATGTGAATTGTTGAGTGAAGTGTTGCTTGATTTCAGGAGCAACCAGCTGTGTTTTCCAACTAAGTTCCGAATGTCAAGATAATATTCTCACTAGTGAGTGGCGAGAGACCTGTTAACAGGGATTATCACTCACTATCATCCTCATGATTACTTAATCACTTCATTTACTGTTCAAATTCCCTTCCTACCACCTGTTGGATAGAAGCTGAGAATTCCTGATAAAACAACTAAGTGGGTACCTGGTGACTCCAGCTTGTCACTTGCTCCTCCAGACCTCCATCTTAGACACCCTACACCAGCATCTCAGAGGCAATGGCTGAGCACACTCAATATCCACAGAACTTGACATCTGTCTCATGCCAACCTTTCCACACCATCATGGCACATCTTCCCAGTACACTTTGGAGTACTCTAGCACCTCTAATTACAATTGTGCTGTGAGGACACTTTGCAGGCTGGGGCAGGCTCCTTGCTCATGGATTAGACTAGCTACATTTCAGGGCTGCTGGCTTGCTTTAGGGCATGGTTGGCAACATGGGACTGGAATATCACAGTTATTACAGAAATGTGCTCAAGGATGGACAGGACTGGCAGCTTAATGTTCCGATATATAGATGCAATACGAAGGATAGAAAGGGTGGAAAGAGAGGAGGGGAGTGGCATTTTTGGTTAGTGATAACATTAAGGCTGTACTTAGGGAGGATATTCGTGGGAGATTATCCAGGGAAGTCATCTGGGGGGAACGGAGAAGTAAGAAATGGATGATCACTTTGAGATTGTATTATAGGTCCCCCAATAGACAGTGGGAATTTGAGAAACAAATATGTAAGGAGATGTCAGATATCTGCAAGAATAATAAGGTTGAAATGGTGGAGGATTTTAACTTTCCAAACTGGGACTGTAATAGTGTTAAGAGCTTGGATGAGGAGGAACTTGTTAAATGTGTGCAAGAAAACTTTCTTATTCAATACATGGACGTACCTAATAGAGAAGGAGCAATACTTGACCCGTTGGAAAATAAGGCAGGGCAAGTGACTGAGGTGTCAGTGGGGAACACTTTGGGGCAAGTGATCATAGTTCTAGTAGTTTTGAAATATTTATTCAAAAGTATAGAATTGATCAAAAAGTTAAAGTTCTAAATTGGAGTAAGGCCAACTTTGGCAATATTGGGCAGGAACGTTCAAAAGTTGATTGGGGGAGGCTATTCACAGGTAAAGGGATGGTTGGGAAGTGGGAGGTCTTTAAAAATGAGATAATGAGAGTTCAGAGGCAGTATGTTCCTATTAGTGTGAATGGCAAGGCTGGTAGGTGTAGGAAATGCTGGATGACTAGAGAAATTGAGGGTCTGATCCAGGCAAAGAAGGCATATATCTGGTATGGACAGCGGGGATTGAGTGAATCCCTAGAGAAGTATACGGGCAGCAGGAGTATACTTAACAGTAAAATCAGGAGGACAAAAAGAGGACATGAGATAGTTTTGGCAAATAGAGTTAAGAAGAATCTAAAGAGATTCTGTAAGTACATTAAGGGCAAAAGAGAACTAGGGACAGAATAGAATCCCTTAGAGATCAACATGACCATTTATGTGTGGAATCACAGGAAATAGGTAAGATACTAATGAATATTTCACAACAGTATTTACTGTGCAGAAGGACATGGAAGCTATGGAACTTGGGAAAATAAATAGTGATGTATTAAAAAGAATTCATATTACAGAAGAGGAGATGCTGGAGGTCTTAAAATGCATAAAGGTAGGTAAATCCCTGGGACCTGATTGGGTGTTTCCCAGAACTTTGTGAGAAGCTAGGGAAAAAATTTCTCGGCCCCTAGCAGAGATATTTGTATCATTGACAGCCATTGGTGTGGTGCCAGAAGACTAAAGGTTTGCTAATGGTGATATTATTTAAGAAAGGCTGCAAGGGAAAGCCAGGCAACTATAGACCGGTGAGCCTGCTATCAATGGTGGGTAAATTTTTGGAGAGGACTCTGAGGTACAGGATTTACATATATTTGGAAAGGCAAGGACTGATTAGGGATACTCAACATGGCTTTGTGTGCAAAAAATCGTGTCTCACTAACTTGAGTTTTTTGAAGAGGTCAGAAAGATGATTGATGAAGGCAGAGTGATAGACGTTGTCTCCATGGACTACAGCAAAGTATTCAACAAGGTTCCGCATAGTAGACTGGTTAACAAGGTTAGATCTCATGGGATCCAGGGGGAGCTAGCCAATTGGATATAAAATTGGCTGGAAGGTACGAGACGGAGAGTGGTGGTACAGGGTTGTGTTTCAGATGGGAGGTCTGTGATCAACGGTTTGCTGCAAGGAGTTGTGGTGGGTCCACTGCTTTTTGTTATTTATATTAATGATTTGGATGTGAATATAGGGGGCATGGTTAGTAAGTTTGCAGACGACACCAAAATAGGTGGTGTAGTAGACAGTGAAGAAGATTAACTCGGAGAACAAACGGGATCTTGATTAGAAAGGCAAATGGGCCGAGCAGTGGCAGATGGAGTTTAATTTAGATAAATGTGAGTTGTTGCATTTTGGTAAGGCAAACCAGGGCAGGACTTACACAATTAATGGTAGGGCTCTGGAGAGTGTTACCAAACTTAGGGATGCAGGTGCATA